CCCTGCCCACTGCCTGTCCATTCCTCAGGGGCCCAGAATCCATGCTGCCCCACTAAGAAGGGGAATATTTGGACTGTATGCCCCATCCTGCCCTCCCTTGTGGTGGTCCTTCCCTCATTATGATCCTGTTAGGAAATAGATCAAAATGAACCATCTGTAATGGGTGATAAAAAGTGAAACCCTAGGGGACAAACTATTAGGGGACAGTCTGGAGGAAGAGCATTTGTAGCCAAAATACCTGTAACTCAGCAAGTCAGAGTGAGGAAATAGTTTCCTTCTTCATCTCTGAGACCCTAGGAGGAAACAAAAGGCCTTGTTTGTGACTTGAAATGGTGCTAGAATCAGGGTTGCCCCATTTAACAACAACAAAAAAATACAGAACACCCAGCTAGATTTGAATTTCAAATGAACAACTGATCACTTTTTAATACAAGTATGTCCTGAGTATTGCACAGGGTTTTATTAGATGAAAAAAAAGTATTGGTTGTTTATCTGAAATTCAGATTTAATTGGGTGTTCTGTATTTGATCTGGCAACTCTAGTGTGGGGATACCTGCATGTTCAATAAAGAGAATTGAAATACGAAATTTCCAAATCAGCTGTTTGAAGTTTTGCGACGAAGCCAGCAACCGAATTCAGCTGTTTGTCTTTCACCAAGGGCTTAGCCCGTTGTGCAAACACGGTGTGATGATTTGGGGTTGGGGATCCAGAAGCATGCCTGACCCCGTGCTCCTGACTGAGATGCCGTTTACAAGTCTTCCATTTTGTAATGAATTTATCTGCAGTTTATTATAAGGTTCTGGGACAAAACTCCTAAGAGAAGGATGTGCTCAGGTCTCAAATATGAAATCAGAAGACGCAAGGGGAAAAGAAGGTGCAGGGATTCTTGAAAGGGGAAAAGACATGTGTCAAATGGTATCCATGATATAATATACTTTCAAAAACTGTTAAGAGGAGGTAGCCCCCAGAGGATTACAAACTGGAGCATTGGCTTGGCTTACACACGTTTGTGTGAGCTAGAAATAGGCCACTTTCAGATTATGAACATCATTGTCTTCAAATGACTCATATACTAATGTTTATCTTCAAACTTGAATTACCCATTTATCTACATAAACTAGTCAAATGAACTAGGTAAATTGCCACATGCCCTATTGTTTCATACCTCTTCGAAGCGAACTTTTGCCTTCGAAGCCAAAAGACAGGGGTTCCAGCTTCCGCTCTGCCTCTTTGAGATTTAACTTTCTTAGCTATGCTTTCTTCATCTACAGAAAGAAAGAATAATTTTGCCCTACATGCCTCATTGATTTCTTTTAATTTTTTTCTTTTAATTTTTAAAGGAAAAAATTCATGATAAACTTCTCAATGTGCACACCTATTTAGATTTAATCAATGTGATATATGCTGTTTTGTCTTTTTCTTCTTTTTCTGAATTTTGAATTTTCATCTTTCAACAGCATACCTTAATTGATCTTTGTTGGTGCCCTCGTGGGAACATGGGAATATCATGTTCATATCTCAGAGTTATCTTCTCCCCAATTATTAAATATTTGTCATGTTTCTAGCTTTTTTCCACTACAAAAGTGTTATCATAATCCATCTTCATATAAATTCTTTTTCTCTCCTTCTGGTCTCCTTCACTGGGACATGTTTCTTGGAACAAGTTGCTTGGCTTGTGTTATTTGTTGTCAAGTTGTTATTTATTCTCTCAGGCAAGGTGGAGCCTATGGGCTCATCTGTGTATGGGAGGCCACTCCACATTGTCTTTTGGTCTTTAATTTATCCTAATTAATAGAAAAGCCATAGTAGTTGTTTTAGTTGAAGCTGTTTGTCAGGATGGCTAAACAATTTCAGTATCTCATTTCATTTAATTGTATTTCAATATGTATGAATGTATCTCCATCTTTCTCTTGCCTTAGCCTCTCCACATTATGGTTGGTAGACTTCTGTGTGTATATATTTTTAAATTTGTTTATAATCTTTCTAATGTACTTCCTTTCATCTTAGTTTTGTTACTGTCCATCATATAGAATATTTTACTTTCTTGTTTATATTATAATTGAGACCATCGTTGTCATTAATATCTTCTTCCATAGTTAAGATAATCCATTTCATTCCCTTTAAGGTTTTTATAGGAATATTTAAAATGTTTAACTATATAACACATCTGGAATTTATTGTGGCCTGTGAGAATCAAAAAGCATATTGAGAAAAGTAAACAGTTTAGAATTTTTTAAAACTAACTGGAGTCCAGCAGCACTAACATGACAAGTCACTCAACCTCTTAAGACCCTGTGCCCTCTACTAGACTGAAGATAGGGACCTTGTCTTATTTTCCTTTTTTCTCCACAATAAAAAATATTTGTAATGTTATAAATTATAAAATTTATATATTTATATTACATACAGGATAAATTTTATAAGGTCTATATTCAAGTCATACTTTTTGCATCTTACTATGAAATTGTTCTAACAGCATTTATTAAATAGTGATTCATTTCCTAAGTATTTATTTGGTTGCTTATTATTGATCACATATCAGTGGTACTCATATTTCTTCCAGTGGCAAAATGCTTCGAAGTTATGGCATTCTGTAAAACATCATGAAACATGGAGATATTTAAGCTACAATAATGAAAATTAAAACTTGATGCTAAATCAGACACCAAATTACATTAGATTGTAGTATAGTATAGATGCCATCAGAAACCAACCTTTTTTTTTTTTAATTCATGGGAGAAATGTTAAAATTGAGAAAATTCTACCCAATAACTTAATTCCTTCTAAGAATATGAAAAAAACACCCACCCATGGAACAGCAAGTTCATCGAGAGCAAAAGTTGAAAACCACATCTTATATCAAGCATACCCAATTGAGAACATAAATAAAAGCTTCTGATCAAATGTAAACACTACATGAAGTCCAGCTGAACTGGGCTGAACTCCAGCTGAACTCAGAAACTATTAAGATCAGCCTTTTGAGTTTCCAAGGTTGGAATTCCCATAATATTAGGAAGTCTAAGGGAAAATAGATGTCAGATCTCCAGTGTGTGTTCACCCCAGCAATCGTAACTCCAGGCACTTCTGTTCATTAATCTATAAATCAGAGGAGGTGACACAAGGGACTTTGTGTCCTACCATATCACAGTTTATGGACTTCACAAAGCAAGCAGGAGGTAGGTATGTAGGAACTATCAGAAAGAACCGATTTCCATCCTGGATTCCTTATACTCTGAGGACAACGGCAGCATGAGAGCTGGAGTCCCGCCCTCTGCACGGACTTCCTGAAGATATGGACAGGGATACCTTTAAAGGCTACTGGAGCCCTCTGCAAGCAATGCGTCATTGTGCTATGCTAATTAATATGTTTTCACAGAGCTTACTTCTACTTACACCTTAGCTTACAAAAAAAGTTTCTTGTTAAGAAAAACAATATGCTGTAGTTTTAAAAAGAACACTTCTAGAACAGGAGATAAGAATCTAGGGTTGTGTCCTCACTCTACCACTTCATCTGGAATGAGTCATTCAACATTTGTGGGCCTCAGTTTTCTTTTCAAAAAAAAAAAAGAATGCGCGTTTAGAATAAATGGTTGCTAAAGTCCTGTATGGTTCTAATCGCCTTGTTCAAGATAGATATGTTCCTGTTCAAGAAAAGTGCAGATGCAAAACTTCATACTTAGGAAACTGCTGATTTGCTCTTCATAATGCCCCTTGCTGAGTCATTCTTCACTTGGAAAATTCCCCCAGAATTTCCCTAAATAGTAGGAACCTCTAGTGAAGTCAAGCTATAGTTCCAAGTACAAATCTCCAACTCGGCTTTATGAATATGATGTACACTTGGTAGAAGAAAGTTATGTCTCTTCTCTAAACTGTGACATTCATGAACAATATCCTGTGGCAGCTCTGGGGCGTGCGTGTGTGTGTGTGCGTGCACGTATGTTGGCGAGAAGTTAGAACTGCTAAATCCTGATTCAGATACGGTGCCAAAGGACAGCAGATTCCACGAAAATCATCTCCTTGGAAAGGAAATAAATCATGACTTCATTAGACACGTGGTTTGCTTTTTTTTTTTAAAGATTTTATTCATTTATCTGACAGAGAGAGAGAGAGATCACAAGTAGGCAGAGAGGCAGGCTGGCTGGGCGGTGGAGGGTGGAGAGGGTGACCAGGAAGCAGGCTCCCTGCTGAGCAGAGAGCCTGATGTGGGGCTCGATCTCAGGATCCTGAGATCATGACCCAAGCCAAAAGGCAGAGGCTTAACCCACTGAGCCACCAAGGTGCCCCTGGACACTTGGTTCCTAATCTCCAGTTCACTCTTGGTCCAGGGTTCTGAAATCGGGGCTAACACAGATAGACTCCTCTGTAAAGCCATGCAATTATCTTTTCCCCTTCTCCTTTCCACTGTATTTCCAGAGATTGCACGGATCAATAGTACTGTTCAAAGCATTTCAGTAAATACTGGTTCAAGCCATTTTCCCTCCAAAATGTATCCCACTGAAAGGTTTGCTTCTCATCTACCCAGGAGTGTGTGTGCTCCAGATGTCTTTGAACCCTCACTGTAGGATGTGGTGCAAACTATCCCAGATTGCCTTCGTTGTCCTGAATTATCGCACGAAGCTACCACTCCACACTCTACAAAGGCTGACCACCAACCTCTGCTTCACCAGCATGGACGAACCAGTTTGCTTTCTGTCACTCATGATGGCTGATTTGGATAAGAGCGACGAAGGCAAAGTTATAGTGGTCCTTGTTTACCCTGAGTCCTATTATAATAATGTTATACCATATATTATAATACTCAATACGATTCAACACAACAAGTATAGTGTTGTGCATACGTGTCTTAGCATGACATTTCTGCCAATATTAGCAGAACTCCAACATACCCATTAAAACAGGACACGGTTTCCACTAAGTGCATCTATGTGAAGAGCAGTATTTTACCTGATTTTCCCAACACCTCGGATGATTTACAGTGAAGTTTTGCTGTCTTGCTGCAGTTTCAGAAAACGGTCTTATACAGAAGCAGCGAACACCTCGCCGAAGATGTCAGCAGCCCAAAATGTTGAGTAGCCCTGAGGACACCATGTACTATAACCAGTTAAATGTGAGTTCAAAGTGGTCATAAAGCTGTTTCACTGGCTTTGTTTCCAGTTAATAATTCTGTTATTAATACCTGTTCCAGCCCCTCCAGCCCCACCCCCACTCTCTTATGCTCTCTTCTTGAACATGTGCTTAGGCTCTTTATCTGTTGCTTTCATGTCAGGATGTCTGCCTTCACGGTGAATAATTGATGTGGTTTATCAAAGACGAGCAAGATGCATGCTTCATCAGGCTCACTTGAGCCCTTTGATCAAAAAAATTATGCTGTGACTTCTGATATTATCAGCATCTGCTTGCATTCAACACAAAATCACTTTGAATTAAAAATTAACGACTTGCTGCTTTGCTTTGACTGTGTGTTCTTGGCCCTCTCCACAGGGAACTCTAGAATATCAAGGGAGCAAGAGGAAGCCAAGAAAACTTGGGTAAATATCTGTCTTCTTAGTTCTAAGCAACTGTAAACAGAAGGGATCCTTTGTGATATTACAGAAAATGCAAAACTTTCCAGAGAAGCTTCTAAAAATATGCAAATGGGGATATCACTCCTATTATTGACATTGGAAACTACTTTTCACAGTAGCAGCTTTATAAAACTTGAATCTATTCTGTCCAAAAAGGCTGAAATTGCCACCTAAAGGCAAATGTTATTTTTCACAATTATCCCAGGAAATTATGGTTTCCCTCATAATTGCAGACGTAGCAGACTGTATAAGACTCTCCCACAAATAAAAACATTCCATGCAATGCAAATATGCTGCTTCCACATCACCCTACCCCTGGGCCTTAAAGGTACACAAAGGAAAATCTCCCCCAGTGGTTAGAGGACTCATCTGGTTTGTTAGTATCCCGATAGAGAATATAGTGACATAGGTAAGTGGTACCAGTTTGAGAACTGGAGGAGGACAGGAGGGAACTTTCTCTTCTAGAGGGAACCAAACAGAGACGGACAAGTCAATTCAGGCAGACAAACTGTAATTTGGTCACAACTTCCAGACCCCACTAAATTGGGCCCATTATAGGCCTATGACCATGAGGTAAAATGCTTTGTGAATCAGACCTCAGTTCCTGTGTTTTGGGAGAACCTGAACTACCTACCCTAAGCTGTCCTTCCTTCCCACTGGGGGGACCCAACCCTGTTCTCATATGCAACTTCAGCTGCTTCAGTGATGACTGTACCCTTTGTCCTCTTTTTCTGCTGAAAACTCTTTTCTTTGTTGCAGCCAAGTCAAAGTGCTTGATGGAGAAGACGAATATTACAAATCTTTGTCACCTGTGGACTCTGTTCCCGAGGAAGATAACCCATCCTGCCCTTTCCTTTCTTCCTCACCCTCAAAAGGAGCATCTTTTGCTCAGCTCTGAGGTGTACTTTCTGCCCCCCCCCCCAAGTCTGTTCAGGGTAAGAACAATCATGGTAATTGACTATCATTTAATAAGAAAGAGGTGTGATGGGGCCAGCTTCTTTGGACACATAGTCTGGGTCTGAGCCTTACTGAATAATTTTCAAATTCCTAACCATTTTCTCAAATCTCCATTGCCCTCCCCACTCCTCTGCAGTGCAACCTGAACTGGGCAGTTTTCCCTTTTCTCATCTCATGGGTACCTGTGGGACACTGAACATCCTTCTAGACTACAGCAATAAGCATCATTCGTGCCCTCAGCGTCTAAGAGGGTAATAAGCCAATCGTGAATGCTGATGATATTCATTTTTCCTGCCACGTCAGTCCATGCAAAATCTGCCCCTGTGAAAATCCAGGCCTCCCTTTCCACCTCACTTCTCCCCTGCACTCCCCACCTCCAAGAGATGCTTCAGGCCTCTCTCCAGAGTCAGAATTCCACTGGAGAGTGTCCCCAGTCAAGGTCTCCTAGGCCAGGATAATTTTTTGTGTTTAGGGGGAGAAGCCTAATCCTTATCTAAGGCTGATGAACCCCTCTCCTGCTAGTTATTATGCTGATAAAGACTTGACTCTTTACTCCTATCATCTTCACAGTAAAAACAAAGGACTTAGAGGGAAAGAAAATTTGGATCTGTCATAGTCTATGTCACATGGTTTAGTAAATTCCCATTCTCTGGTCAGTGGTGTCCACGAGGCTGTGAATGATTTTTGGGAAAGGATCTTATCTTGTGCCTGTCTTTGTGGGCAGAGCCTAGGACAGTGCCTGGCACAGAATGGACGTCTAGTAAACGGCCTTACGTGAATGGTGAGACTTCACTTAGTTACATATGTGACAGGGAAGTAGCTGTCAATTGTGCGTTCCTCATGATTAATCACTTTTCTTACACCGTAAGCTCTGATTTTTCACTCCAGGTTGGGCTAGTCCTATTATAATAATGTTATACCATATATTATAATACTCAATATAATTCAATACAACAAACATCTTTTGAGCAACTACTCCATGCAAAACAATGTGTGAGATTGCTTTATGATGTAAAAACAAAAACAAAAACAAAAAACCTACAAGACCTTTTCTCTAGAACAGATGTTCTCAGATTTTTTTTTCTTTTTCCTTTTTTTTTTTTTTTTTTGGCTTTAAAATACTTGGCAGATCATACATGTGGGAGTACCCAGATTTGGGGGGAAAAATAAGTGGAAAAAATAGAAAAAATTGTTACCAGAGTTACAGAGGGGACAATTTTAATACACATTTTACAAAGATAAAATACTGAAACTAGGCATCTAAAGATCTCAGAAATTATACTTTTAAAGAAAAAGAAATAGGAAAAGCCAATTATCCAATAGTTAAACTTTACTTTTTAAAAAAGTGAGCCTTGATTTTTTTTCCTCACATATTCACCCCAAAGATAATGTTTATTAAGGTATACAAGTACAGCAGAAGAAACATAAATGAACTTCATTGTTTAAAAAATATGTAGTATATGTAGCTTTTTAACATTATTTTAAGGTAAGTATTTTTGTTTTGGAGTATAGCATAGGTGTACAACATAGTGATTCGACAGTTCTGTGCCTCACGCAGTGCTCACCACTCTAAGTGTAGTTCCCATCTCTCACCATACCACATATTTGACTGTATTCCCTGTGCTTCACTTTTCATCTCTGTGACTTAGTATTTAAAATAGGAAGTCCGGGCTCCCCTGGGCAGCTCAGTCAGTCAAGCCTCTGACCCTTGATTTTGGCTCAAGTTACAATCTCAGGGTTGTGAGACACTGGGCATGGAGTCTGCTTAAAATTCTCTCCCTCGAAGGGAGGAGTCAAGATGGCAGAGAAGTAGCAGGCTGAGACTACTTCAGGTAGCAGGAGATCAGCTAGATAGCTTATCTAAAGATTGCAAACACCTACAAATCCAACGGGAGATCAAAGAGAAGAAGAACAGCAATTATAGAAACAGAAAATCAACCACTTTCTGAAAGGTAGGACTGGCGGAGAAGTGAATCCAAAGCGACGGGAAGATAGACCGCGGGGGGAGGGGCCAGCTCCCGGCAAGCGGCGGAGCAATGGAGCACAAAATCAGGACTTTTATTTTTATTTTTTTTAAAGATTTTTATTTATTTATTTGACAGAGAGAGATCACAAGTAGGCAGAGAGGCAGTCAGAGAGAGAGGAAGTCAGAGAGAGAGGAAGGGAAGCAGGCTCCCTGCTGAGCAGAGAGCCCGATGCAGGGCTCGATCCCAGGACCCCGGGATCATGACCTGAGCCGAAGGCAGAGGCTTAACCCACTGAGCCACCCAGGCGCCCCAAATCAGGACTTTTAAAAGTCTGTTCCGCTGAGGGACATCACTCCAGAGGCTTAACCGGGGTGAAGCCCACATGGGGTCAGCTTGGCCTCAGGTCCCGCAGGGTCACAGAAGGATCGGAGGTGTCTGAGTGTTGCAGAGCTTACAGGTATTAGAACAGGGAAGCCGGCTACAGAGACAGAGACGAGGAGTGAGCTCTCAGCTCGGGGTTACCTTGAACCGGTGGCAGGCTCGGTCAGCTCGGAGCGCAGCCAGAGGCCAGGGTGACGGGAGTAATTGGGCGCTGTTCTCTGAGGGCGCACTGAGGAGTGGGGCCCCGGGCTCTCGGCTCCTCCAGGCCGGAGACTGGGAGGCCGCCATCTTCATTCCCATCCTCCAGAACTCTACGGAAAGCGCTCAGGGAACAAAAGCTCCCAAAAGCAAACCCGAGCGGATTACTCAGCCCGGCCCCTGGTAATGGCAGTGCAATTCCGCCTGGGGCAAAGACACTTGAGAATCACTACAACAGGCCCCTCCCCCAGAAGATCTACAAGAAATCCAGCCAGGACCAAGTTCACCGACCAAGGAGTGCACTTTCAATACCAAGGAGAGCAGCGGAATTCCAGAGGAGGAGAAAGCAAAGCACGGAACTCATGGCTTTCTCCACATGATTCTTTAGCCTTGAAGTTAATTTAATTGTTTTTTCTTTTCCAATTTTTTTCTCTTTTTCTGCTAAATTTTTTTAACTTTTACCCTTTTCTTTTTTAACGTTTTTTAACTATTTATCTAATATATATATATTTTTTCCTTTTTATATTTTTTTCTTTATTTGTTTTCTTTTTTTAATTGTTTTTTTTTTTTTTTCTTTTTGAACCTCTTTTAACCCCCTTTCGCCCCCCTCACGATTTGGGATCTCTTCTGATTTGGTTAAAGCATATTTTCCTGGGGTTGTTCCCACCCTTTTAGTATTTTACTTGCTCCTTCATATACTCTTATCAGGACAAAATGACAAGGCGGAAAAATTCACCACAAAAAAAAAGAACAAGAGGCAGTACCGAAGGCTGGGGACCTAATCAATACAGACATTGGTAATATGTCAGATCTAGAGTTCAGAATGATGATTCTCAAGGTTCTAGCCAGGCTCGAAAAGGCATGGAAGATATTAGAGAAACCCTCTCGGGATATATAAAAGCCCTTTCTGGGGAAATAAAAGAACTAAAATCTAACCAAGTTGAAATCAAAAAAGCTATTAATGAGGTGCAATCAAAAATGGAGGCTCTCACTGCTAGGATAAATAAGGCAGAAGAAAGAATTAGCGATGTAGAAGACCAAATGACAGAGAATAAAGAAGCTGAGCAAAAGAGGGACAAACAGCTACTGGACCACGAGGGGAGAATTCGAGAGATAAGTGACACCATAAGACGAAACAACATTAGAATAATTGGGATTCCAGAAGAAGAGGAAACAGAGAGGGGAGCAGAAGGTATATTGGAGAGAATTATTGGAGAGAATTTCCCCAATATGGCAAAGGGAACAAGCATCAAAATCCAGGAGGTTCAGAGAACCCCCCTCAAAATCAATAAGAATAGGTCCACACCCCGTCACCTAATAGTAAAATTTACAAGTCTTAGTGACAAAGAGAAGATCCTGAAAGCAGCCCGGGAAAAGAAGTCTGTAACGTACAATGGTAAAAATATTAGATTGGCAGCAGACTTATCCACAGAGACCTGGCAGGCCAGAAAGAGCTGGCATGATATATTCAGAGCACTAAACGAGAAAAACATGCAGCCAAGAATACTATATCCAGCTAGGCTATCATTGAAAATAGGAGGAGAGATTAAAAGCTTCCAGGACAAACAAAAACTGAAAGAATTTGCAAATACCAAACCAGCTCTACAGGAAATATTGAAAGGGGTCCTCTAAGCAAAGAGAGACCCTAAAAGTAGTAGATCAGAAAGAAACAGAGACAATATACAATAACAGTCACCTTACAGGCAATACAATGGCACTAAATTCATATCTCTCAATACTTACCCTGAATGTTAATGGGCTAAATGCCCCAATCAAAAGACACAGGGTATCAGAATGGATAAAAAAGCAAAACCCATCTATATGTTGCCTACAAGAAACTCATTTTAAACCCAAAGACACCTCCAGATTTAAAGTGAGGGAGTGGAAAAGAATTTACCATGCTAATGGACATCAGAAGAAAGCAGGAGTGGCAATCCTTATATCAGATCAATTAGATTTTAAGCCAAAGACTATAATAAGACATGAGGAAGGACACTATATCATACTCAAAGGAACTGTCCAACAAGAAGATCTAACAATTTTAAATATCTATGCTCCTAACGTGGGAGCAGCCAACTATATAAACCAATTAATAACAAAATCAAAGAAACACATCGACAATAATACAATAATCTTAGGGGACTTTAACACTCCCCTCACTGAAATGGACAGATCATCCAAGCAAAAGATCAACAAGGAAATAAAGGCCTTAAATGACACACTGGACCAGATGGACATCACAGATATATTCAGAACATTTCATCCCAAAGCAACAGAATACACATTCTTCTCTAGTGCACATGGAACATTCTCCAGAATAGATCACATTCTTGGTCCTAAATCAGGTCTCAACCGTTATCAAAAGATTGGAATCATTCCCTGCATATTTTCAGACCACAATGCTCTGAAGCTAGAACTCAATCACAAGAGGAAATTTGGAAAGAACCCAAATACATGGAGACTAAACAGCATCCTTCTAAAGAATGAATGGGTCAACCAGGAAATTAAAGAAGAATTGAAAAAATTCATGGAAACAAATGATAATGAAAACACAACGGTTCAAAATCTGTGGGACACAACAAAGGCAGTCCTGAGAGGAAAATATATAGCAGTACAAGCCTTTCTCAAGAAACAAGAAAGGTCTCAGGTACACAACCTAACCCTACACCTAAAAGAGCTAGAGAAAGAACAAGAAAGAAACCCTAAACCCAGCAGGAGAAGAGAAATCATAAAGATCAGAGCAGAAATCAATGAAATAGAAACCAAAAAAACAA